TTTAACTCGTCAGAACTATAATCCTCCTTACTGTAAAACAAAATTTGTAATTTCATTTTGGCCAAAAATCCAAGAATTTAATGGAAGAAACCAAAAAATGACCTTGTTTAAAAACGTGGTCACAGTAAGATGAACCCACGGGGTAAATAAGGGCAAAACATAATAAGCCTTTAGTGTGGTTCTACTCAGGAATTTAAAAATCTAGTGAGAACTATAAAAATATCTTCTCAGTATTTAGCAGTCCCAAGATCTACTAGCTCTCTTGTTTGGACTGTCGGGCATCAAATTTAAATCCTGGTATATAAGTTGTCACTAAGTCATGGTAACAGCTAAAAATAGAATTTCACAATAAGAGTAAACAGGGTAAAGTGGGCAGGAAACAAAACTATATTCAATCAAACTGATTTGATTGGCAATATGACGTTATTTACTGGTGTTTATAAGGAGAATAAATAGTTCCTTTCCTAGGAAACTATGCAGTCACGCTGATAATCAATTCACCCTCACATGGTCAATTTATAAGCCAACTGTCAAACTTTTTCAATATGTTGCAAGCCATGTAACATCAAGCCAAATAATGAAAGTTTAATCCCATTTTTATAGATCAGCCTTCTTCATACCTCCTCTTGGACTCTCAGAGTCGCCAATCTAAGGGGGGGGTGCATGATGAATACTATGTGCGTGCCAGCTGAAATGTTCACTCCCTAATTCTCATTGCCTGTTATTCACTGTGTTGTTATTTTGTTAAACACACGCCCTGAGGCCAAAACCAGGAAAACAAGCCAAAATAAATGGGCAAGAAAAATGTCTTATCCCTAGCTTATGATGCTATTTTTCTTTTTATTGGAATAAAAGATGTTGCCAAGCTCTGATGTCACTACAGTAATTTCATGGCCTGACAAAAGCAGTATTTTCTCCATTAAACATTCATCTTCCTTGCCAGTTTTACCTCCTACCAGGCAGGGTGTACAATCACTCACTGAAGAGATACTAATAACTTTAATTCTGATACCATAAAAAGCCAATAACTCGGTAAGTTCCCTGGCAAAAGACAGAAGCCAGAATGTACTTTTTAGTACTTTAGTACCCAGGAGAGCACCCGTAATATTGAGTATTAAAAAACAATGAAACAAAACATGACATCAGCTCTCTCGGCACCAAATAATGTTGCAGAGGAGAAAAATACATATTTTAAACATATAAAACCATTGAAATCGTCAAAATATTTGGCAAGCATTCCAGTAATAATGTGGCAAGAAATGTCCTAGACTCTTCAACATTTAACTATTTTTTTTTTCTTTCTCTAAACCTTTAATCCTCTTTATTTGCACTGGTGGTATACCTGAACTATACGAGTCATTCATTTCCATGATTTCCCTCAATCACGGATCTAGAGAAGGCAGTTTAGCATCTTGCTGCTTAGTGTGATATGTGTGGTGTCATTGACATCATCCAGAAACTTGTTAAAATGGGAAAATCTTAGAATGCACACCAGACCTACAAAATCAGAGCGTGCCTTTAACATCCTCCAAGAAATTCAGTCAGACATGAGAAGCTCTGCTTTAACTCTCTGGTTCATTTAGGGCATGTAGCTGTCTAGTGTTTGTTAGACTTAAGTGAAGAAAGGTGTGAGAGGGATGACTGAACACAGGGGAAGTCACATTGTCCTTAAGGAGTGAGATAAGGGAGAGGCTGACATGTATACAATGATATCCAGTATCAGTGCCATGAGAGACACTCCCAGGCTGCAGGAGACGAAGCAAGGTATTTCCAAGAATGCCAAGGGGCTGATGATGGCAAAAATACCCATGGGCAGCTGGGTGGGTAAGAACCTTAACACCCTGCTGAAAATCTCTGCTTTCGTGAGATCCAAGCCTTTTGGAGAAGTCAGTTTTAAAGGAGAGCAGTCATAATATAATCACCTTTGTGTTTTTAGGAATTTCACTGCCCTGGCAAGATGTAGGAAAATGAATGATTTGGGAAGGGCAAAACCAAGACTGGAGAGAGAGATGAGCTAGAAGTAGTTCAAGGAGAGGGGCCTCCCTGCTGGCACAAGAGGTTAAGCACTGCACTATGAAGCAATCCCAAGCCTCTACAGTACAAGTTCAATCCCTGGCCAGACAGGGAGCAACCCACATGGCATAGCAGACCTCTCCTGTCTCACCCACTGCTCCCCTGTTCTGTTCCCCACTGTCTCTGATGAATCCTCTCACCCCGCCAAACCGCCCCCCCACCCCGCATCTCTGGCCTGTACCACCAGCTCTTCTATGCATAAATAAATAAATCTTTAAAAAAAAAAAAAAAGTAGTTTGAGGAGGCATGAAGGACATTTTCTTCTTAGTTCTGAATTTCTTCTCACCCCCTCCCAAATTTTGAAAGGGTGGTTATAGGGATCCGGGGGTGATAGTAAAGAGATAAGAGAGAGATCTGCTTCTAGGTGACATGTGGGGCACACATAGATAAATACAAAACAGCAAAAACTCTGTATACTTTTCTGTTTCATAAAACTTGAGAAAATATTATTTTGGTGGTTCAGGATTCAATACTCCAATCTTTCTAAATGTCAATTCTTGACATATATTTATAGATCAAGATGGGCACATAGTTTACATTAAATAACTATGGGCCCCACTGAATATCCTGAAAATCGTTTTGTTGCTTTTATAAGTCACTTTTTAAAAAAGATTTATTTATTCATCCATACAAGAACCGGGTACAGGCAGAGGTGCAGGAGGGGTGAGAAGATTCACCAGAGACAGAGCAATTTGCAGAACAGGCAGACTGACCGAAATACACTGCTAAGGGGAGCAGCGAGTGAGACAGGAGAGGTCTGCCGTGCCATGTGGGTGTCTCGCCAGCCTGCCAGGATCAAACCCGCACTACAGAGGCTGCGGACAGCTTCACAAGGCTGCGCTCAACCACCTGCACCACCAGGGAGGCCTTTATATTGGCCTTTCTCCCCCACGAGTTATTTTTCTCTCGAGACTCAAGTGTAAAAGATGTAGGTGGAAGACAGAAGGTAGAGCATAGAGAGGTACATTTACTAATTTAACCTAGCATATACCTTACTGTAGGAGTGAGTAAATAATGGCTTCAAGTAACTTCTCGGATGTATATAAAAAGAGAGCAAATACTATACCTGTCAAGTATTATCATTTCTGATTCTGATATACAGACTACTGCAAAAGCCCCTGTTTATCTTTAAGAAAGACAGTAAGAAATTTTGACATTAGTTATTAATGATAAGCTAAGAATTACATTTAAAGGGGGAAAGGTAATAAGTAGAAGCCGCCAACTTTAAACTAGGGTTGCTCTGAAAAAAATGTATTTAATGACCGTTTGGAACTTTATAACACATCTTCTCCCTCCAAAATTACATATGTCGGAATTATGCAGTTTAGTGACCCCATAAAAGCCTATTCTATAGAATCTTATACTGAAAAGGCCCTTAGAGATCATGTGGACCAATCTCTCACCAAAGAAGAGATTATTTCCACATTACCTTTTGCAAACACCACTAGCACACATCCAGTAATGAGGAACTCATGCCTTCAAAAGGGCATTTTCTGTCATGAGGCAGCTCTATTTATCAGTTCTTCCTTCTTTTGAAACAAAATCTGCATCTTCTGAGTGCCTCTATGGAACAAAAGATGAACCATATATCACGGTATCAACTCTCCCCACCCCCATTGAAATCTTGGCCACTGGTGGTCTGATTTAAGAAAACAAGCAGACATCTTGCCCCTCTGGAGTCAGGGGACCCATCTCTGCACAGGGCTGACCATGAAGAATGACCTTGTGTCAAAGAGTTATGAATTATAAGATTTAATGAAATTCCAAATGCTGAAAAAAAATCTCTCCTGAGAGAGGAGTGGCTTGTGTTCAAGCAGAACATCAGAAAATCCTTCAACAACACTTCCAAGAAGAGAAACATAAGCTATTAACCTCAGCCCCACCCCTCTTCAAAATTGTTTTAAAGAGCTTCAGATGCATTAATATGGATGTATCAACATCATCTGGTGTTCTTGTTTCACTGTTCTGTGGAACAAATTTCACTTAGCCTGTAAAGGAATTGAATTCCAACAATACAAACAGAAATTCTAAACACATACGCAATGCCTGACAGTAAATGTTGAGGTTAACAGCCAAAATTATTCTTCCTGATGTAAGTGCATGATCCCATTCTTCAAAATTTTCCTAGAATACAACATCCTAGTTCCTTTGTTTTCTGTTTTTGATGGAGTCTCCCCCCCAAAAAATATATATATTTCATTTTCTCCTAAAATAATATTATGCTAATGCTGGGCTAGTGGGTACTTCTATACAATTCTAAGTATTGATTATAGCATTGAATCCTAAACTTGGAGGATATAAGCTAGCTTAGATGGTCCTTCTCTATTTTGTAGCTGCCCCTTCCCCTCCAAAACACACACACACAGAGAGAGAGAGAGAGATCAAAAGATTCAGTTTATGCAATTGTAACTGGAGGTTTTTATATAAACCTTCAACCAAATTTTAGACATTAAAAATAAAGATCATGGACTATGGGGATGGTTCACGGGTGTCTTGGCGGTGGTAGTTTTATGGGGATAACACCTGAGAGAATGAATAATGATGTAAAAATATATAAATAAAAATGGTCATGGTGACAGTTTTCTAAGATCTGATTTTCTAACAACTTAGGGAAAATTGTTCTTTCCTTTTTTTCCCCAATGACCATGTACTCAAGGTGCCAATAAAATGAACTACTATGAATTTCAAATGACACAATTTTAAAAGCATGAATTATTACTGTATACAATAACCCGACAAATCTCATACACATGTGAGAAACCACATATAAAAGAGTACATCCGATATGAGTCCAGTTTAAGATCGGGCAAGAATAATCTATGAGACCGATCAGAATAGTTGCTTCCTCTGGGGGGCAGGGCTGTCTGGGAAGGGGCACCCAGGAGTCTCCCAAGGTGAAAGAAATACTCCTTATCTTCATCTGGGTAATGGTTATAACAGGTAAGTGTGTATGTAAAGCCTCACCTAACTGTCTACTTAGTGTACATTAACTGCACACTTGTATACATTTTTATATCATACCTCATCTGGGAAAAATGCAACACATTTCCAAGTGCTTTCTAAGTTTCAATTGCAAAATTAGGAGAACTATAGCAAATAAGACTGTAACAATTACATATACACACACTATTACTAATTCTAAGAATTCCTCATTATCTAGTACTTTAAAGAAATCCTTTCTGGATGAAAGTAGTAGACTAACATGCAGAGGAGTAAAAAATAACAACAACTAACCTTTACAGAGATTTTTATTATATGCCAACCGATTTACCTTCATTATCTCATTTAATCCCCACACCAGTAAAAAATACCATTGTTATCCCCATTTTGCAGATGAGGAACCTAAGGCTTACATCAAGATCTCTGCCCAAGCTCATGGGCACACACACGCATGTGTGCACTAAACTATTAACAAATCACTGACAAGCAAGTTATATGTCAATTTCTTAATTCTATAAAAACAAATCAACCATACTGTTCCAAGCAACAAACAAGAACTCAGATAATCTAAGTTCAGCAATCTAACCTCTATTTTTTCTCCTTTCAAGTAAGATGTAAGGAACTTCATGGTTGCTTAATTCTGTGATTAAAAGGCACATCATTGGCTCAAGAGAACTGGAGTCCTTACTCGCAACCTAACTGATATGTAGCAAAACAAAATGTTCTTTGGGGTAGTTTTTTTTAATTATGTCCGGCCATCAAAATATATCACACCGCAAAGTGACCGAACAACTGTGAGCCAAAAGAAGCACAATGCTAACTTTCGTGTTTACTCAGTTCATTCAAGAGTCCTTTCAATTTGGCCATACTAGTAGAAGGCATGCCTAGGATTAAGGTAGAAAAAAAATTAAATATATTCTCTAAAGGGCTTCTTTATTTTCTAAACACTGTATTGTGAATTTGGTAAAGGACTACATGTTAATAGGATGGAAAGAACTGTGATGCACAGTATGATTTTAATCAGGAGTAAAACATATCAAATCAGCCATCAAATATGCCACAGCATTCTGCATTAGCTGAAAATTACAAGCACTGAAATTCACATCCCTTTTTAACTATTCTCACAAGAGGAAATCAATTAACTATATCATCCATCCAAGATTCAGAACTGCTCTTTCTTGAGAAATATACAAGAAACAAACTGGGCTAATAACTCTGAAAAATGTTTGTATCGAAAAATTATTTGGGGTGGAGAAGGACAGACAAGAGGGAGGAAGACACACTATTATCTCTCAAAAACTTAACTGCAAAGATTTTTAGAGTATTTTTGGTAGATATGTTTTTATTTGCTTGCTAGCAAGTCTGTAAAGCAATATCTTAGAAAAATACTAGACATCAGAGATAATTCTTAAAAAGACAACAGGAAAGAGAGACATACCCTAACTGAATTTAAATTCTATAATAATAACATAACAAAAACAAAATCAGATTTTTAAAAAGCCAATTAAAACATGCCCATTTAAACAAGCATTTCATTTCTGCAAAACAAATTGCCTCACATGAAAGTCTGATTTTGCTCTCAGTCTAAAAGCTATTAAAATAATATGCGGGCTTTTACAGGCAAGACCAAACTGTAACGCAATTTTACATATTTATCAAAAGATCATTTAAAAAAAAAACTTACCAAGTCTGCAACATGTATATGCTTGCGCTTCAGAGGCAAAGTAAAGCAGTGACTTTCTGTACTTAGAGTGGCGAGTACTTCAGTGCTAAAAACATCACCACAGTCCTGATGAAGTCCTTACTAGCAATCTGCCTTTGGGTTGGGCTTTTCTCTTACAAGATAAGCTGTTAAGTCATGCCTTGATTTTAGATCTGCTAACATATGGAGACTTCTTATGTAGCCTCTCTCCACCCTCCGCCCCCCTCCCATCACCACTCCGCTCCACTCCCTCTCCACACACACACATACACACATACAAAAAAGGCACTGCAGGGCAGAAATTCCTCAGGTGCTCGCTAATGGAATTCCCAGGGTCTTGGAGCCGCTTCGGGGATCAAGAGATCTCATAGCCCCTGCTGGGGTAAGGAGCAGCGAGTCTGTTCCATTTAATCAAATACAGAATGAATTTTCAGCTCTATTCACTAGCTTGTCTCCAGGGCTCTCAAAAGGCACCAGGCAGCTAGAATCACACACATGTGGCTCTTTTAGGCAAGTATAATTAGTTTGATTTTAAAAAGCCACATTAATAATATCACCTCAGGACCATTATTCAGGGGACAGATGACAATGATACTGTATGTTTTAAGCCTGACAATGGGGGAAAAGAGCACAAACAATAAGGGAAAACTTGAAGGATTAAAAAAAAAAAAACCAACAAACCAGTTTTTCATTTAATCGTAATCCAATATTTTTAAAGCAACATTATGTGTACGCGTATACCATCTCTTAATTTTAATTAAAAATAATCAAGAAAGCCCTCCTCCCCATTCTCTTGAAAGTGAATTAGTACCATACACACAACAAAAATTTATAAATGGAATGTTTATAAATAAATGGAGTGTTTACATACAATATAAAAATTTAAATAAAAACAATAAAACATTCTTTAATTCAATCCAAGTTAATAAAAATGTTTGGGGAAAAAAGCACCAATCAAAAACCACTATAAAAATCAAGTCCTTCAAAGCAATATATTTAGCAACCAGACTCCAAATTCCCTTTCAAACCTAATTAGCTCCTATTATGTGGCAAGATAAAATATGAAAAGAAAGACTACCCGGTAGACAATGCATCCACTCTTCTGATTATCATCTTATCTATACGTCTTCATAGTACAAATGCTAATCACAAGGTGATAGTTAATATAATTACATGTTACAAATAACACATTTTTCGATTAGTTTTCATTTCCTATTCCCAGCGTGATTTCACTATAGTGTCCGATTTCTGAGATCATTTCCCTAAGATTTTACTTAGAAACAATCACCAATTGTTAATCCAAATGTCTGCACAAATAAACATTTCTAGAGAAGAAATTTTCACTTCCACTTAAGAGTCTGACAAAAGCATAAATGAAATCGTCCAGTAAATCATGACAGCGTAAGGGCAAAATGGAAAAATAAGAGAATAGCATGAGAACTGGTCAACAGATTTTACCTGACCTCTTTAGAGCAAAGCCCAATGACAGAAGTTCCTATCACGACACAAAGCCTTCATCTATATATACCTCGCTGAAGGGGGGTAGGGGAGGGAGTAAGGGGGTGGGGGGCGGGGAGAGGTTCTATCTTAAAGTGAACTTAATTCTTTTCATGCAGTTCAACCACCTGCAAAGAAGGCAAGGAGTAAGATTGATTTAGAAGCCAACCTGAATAAGCTAGATCAGTATGCTCCAAGTCCTAAGAGTTCTTTGTACTTCCTGGCTTGAGAGTCAGAGCTGTTTAAGTACTTTCCACAGAAGAGGAGGCTGATGAGAACTACAGCAATCAATCAAAGCATCCCAAGTGAGTTACTACACAAACAATAGCACAGTACTTCTAGTAACTGATTTTCCTGGTTGACTAAACTATTCAAACAAAGACGGATTTCCCAAATATTATGTCCGAGTTTTTGCATGAAAGTTAAACAATATACACTTGTGTGTCTTTTATAGAAATATAAATGTTTCTGCTCTCCACACTGCCAAACACACCCAGGGCACGTCTTTACAAAATGAAACAGGTTTTCTCCATCCTTCTCATATAACTTCAAGTATGAGGCAGTTTATTTCAACATGTGCATAACAGAAACTACAGTATTTGCAGCCTCTCCGGGTTCCGGAGAATGCTTTCTACTTTAACATTAATTTAAAATTTCCAGAAAATTTCTGAAGTTTTTTTTTTCATCTTGCCCTAAAAGTTGAACTACCTCCTACATTTTCAGCTAAAACAGACTTCAAAAAAAAAAAAAAAGAGCTATAAAATGTAATAGAATGTTTAGAATTCGACTGAGAATAAACCCATCTCATTCTCCAGTCACCTCTCCAAGTTTTCCTCCCACTGTCCTCACCCTAGGTAGTCAGTAGTGAGTTTGAAGGTTCTGGTATCAGTGAGGCATGGAATCTGAATCGGCTCTTTCATCGTGACTGGCCACTGGCCTGAGAATAAATCTAACGTTATCTTTCAGTGCAATCTCCTCTTTCTCAAGGTTTGTGAACGAGGACATAGAAGTTTGTTGCAGAAGTTCCCTAAATTCTAGATCTCAACTGGAAGGCAGCCTGCCTTTAAAACACCTGCCACTCTCTGTAGCCTTGACCAGGAAAGGCAAGCCTTCTGGAGAGCTCCGTGTGGAGAGCCTTCCACCTGATTTGATGGGGACAGGGAGAACAATGAAGGGAAGGGCCCAAGACTCTATCTATGCCCCTCAGTGATTTATTACTCAAATTCCTAGATGTGGCGAGAAAGCAACAAAGGTCTAGAAGCTGCAGACTGAAATAAATAGCGAGCTGTAATGTATTTAGCAAACGATAATGCAAGCCACAGAAAGCTTTACAGAGGAGAAGGAAAAATGCACTCCCTGGGGCTGGGAAGTCACTGAGTCTGTGAAGGCAGAGAAAGATACATTGTGCAGGAAATTTCTCTTGCTTCTCCCTACGCATAAATCACTGTCTCTCGCGGGCGCTCTGCGGGGATCGAGGTTGAGAGAGGCGAGGGACCCCGCTCCCTTGGGAAAACACGCTGGCGCCCCTTGCTCCCCGCTATACAGCATCTCACCTGCCCCAGCGGATCATTGTCAAAGAGATTTAATCGTGTCACTGACACCTCACCCCGCCTCCTCCCACGAGGTGGCTCAGAGTCCGCCAGGACGCGGGACGTCGGAGCTCCAGCTGGGCATCAGTCACCTTCCCTGGCCAGCCCCAAACGCAGCCCTGGACCCCACACCCTCCCGGCCTGGCGCACCCGGGCCCCCCGCCCCCAAGCCTCGTGGTCCCCAAGCCCCGGGCCACCCCTCCCTCCGATCCTGCGGCTGGACCTCCACCCCCGCACCTCTCAGCGGGGCTGGTTAAGTCCCCCGACCTCCTGCGCGGCAGCCGGCTCCGAGAGCCACCCCCAGGTCATCCCCCGCGCGCTGGCGGCGGCTACGGCGGCGGCGGCTGCGATCCGAACGGGCCCCTCCATGCACCGGGCAGGGCGGCTGGAGGGCGCGGCGCCTCGCACGCCGGGACGGGGGCGCGAGGGCGGGCGGACCGGCGGGCTGGCGCGGGGTCCCGGGTCTCCTCGCACCGAGCCGCGCGCGCCGGGCACCCGGGACGCAGGGGAGGGGAGCGGAGCTGGGGGGCGGAGTCACCCGGCGCGCCCCCGCGGCGCGCTCCTCCCCAGCCTGCGCGCGCGCGCGCGCTCCCCGGCGGGCGCGGGGCCAGCGCGGAGCACGCGAGGAGCTGGGGGGGGGGGACCCGGCCGCGGAGGCCACAGCGCCCGGACGGCCCGCGCCCCGCCGGAGGGTGCGCGCGCAGGCTGCCAGATCAGCGGCGGGGGGATGGGCCGTACCAATGCACGGAGGGGGGACGCTCGGGGCAGGACCTTCGCCTCGTCGCCTTGCTACTTGGTCGCCCAGGAAGCCACCCCGGGAGAGCCGAGGACAGCCTCTGCTGGGGTTTGCAATAGGCCAGGAGGAGGTGCCTTAGCAACTCCCGGAGATGCCCATAATGCACGCGCCCTCGTTCCCCTCACCTTGACTTCCCCGGAGAGGCGGCATTTCTGCCCTGTCCACAAATGGTCTATTTGTTCCACTGCTCCCGCCCAGGCCCCGCCTCTGGCCCCTGCACCTAAGTTCTCCGAGAAGCCAATTAGCCCCATCCCTGCTCTTGGCTCTTACCTTAAGGTAACTGCCTTGTGTGTCCAGCTTCCCGCCGCGTCTGGTTGCTTGGCCTTTACACCGCTGTCGATATTAAATTTTTGAGGCACCCTCCTCTGAGTCCCACCCTACCTGCCTTGCATTCATTCGCATACAAGTTTTGCAAGCTGGCAGCAGAACTTTTCAGAGACCTGGAGAAGCTCTGTGTTGCCTGGTGAACCCTGCGCGTGGCCTTTGACCCCAGATCTGCTCTCCTGGGCTGTTGGAATCCTGCCCCAAGTGATCTGATCTTAGTGAACTTAAGTTCAAACAAAAGGGGGTAAATAATTTCTATCGAAAAGGTTGTCACGAGGCATAAATAAATATGATAGTGAAAGCACCTGCCAGCCTGAAGGACTGACTTCAGTAATAATCATATTAGCAGGTCGTTCTTTTTTTAACCATCATGTTATCTCCTATTAGTGAACCACAAAAGGATCCCTAATGGTGTTTGAAGTTCAAAGCTCTAGGTACTGGAACTTCAGTAGAAATATGCTAAACTTCCCCCTTACCCCCCTCCCCTTTACCTTTTACTTGAATTTCACAAAGAAATGCTTTGAAAGTGTAGTGTTCAAACAGTGTAGCTTTCTGCTTTAACTGGATCCAGGGTCTTTGTCAAAGCATTGGGGCCTAAGAAAGTCAGCAAAGGAGGGGAAAAAAGAACTCTAACTCTAGATTGTTGTATTTGTTACTTATTCAAACCAAGAATCTCTATGCTGTTAATATAGCAAGGTATAGTAACTAATTTTTCATTCAACAAATAAGATACCCTATAAACCTTGAAGGTTTAACTGAAATGAGTTTTGTGTGACTGAAAGTCTTGTAGGTCTCTGGTGGCACTTTCTAAAAACCCTAGCTGTCCCCTATGACAGCAGCTCCACAACATGTCCTTCCAGTTGGGGTCCCACTGACGCTGGGTATCCCCCAAATCTCAGCATCATTTGAATATCACTATGCCTATCAATATCATTAATCAAGCCTGAGAAATAATCATGATGTTTGTTGATGGTGATTACACCTCTCTGCCTTGTTTGGAAAGTGGAGAAATCATTTCAGACACAAAATACGTTTCACTAATGAATCACTCATTAATTCAACATTTCCCTTAAAAGTATTTACTGAGTGGGCCTCCCCTGGTGGCGCAGTGGTTGAGCGCTGGGCTGCGAAGCTGCCTGTAGCCTCTGCAGTGCCGGTTCAATCCCCGGCCGCCAGTGAGGGTCCCACATGGCATGCAGTGTATTTTATCAGTCTGTCTGTTCTGCTCCCCGCACTGGCTCTGGTGAATTCTCTCACCCTCCCGCGCTTCTGACTGTACCCAGTGCTTGTATAAATAAATTAATTAATTTTAAAAAATCTTTAAAAAAAGAAGTATTTACTGCACCTACCCTATGCCACCGCTAGGCAAAACAGTATGTAGAGAATTATGACTTAATCCCAAGCTTCTGAGAGCTCTCAGTGTAGTGGTACAGACACATAAATGTGTAAGTACACTGAGATGAACAGGGAACTGCAGGGGTACAGGTGCTGTGTTGCTAACCCTTTCTGGAGTTTGGGGGTAAAGCTTGTCAACAAATGCTTCCCAAAAGAAAAGACCCACGAACTAAGCCTTAAAGGATAGTAGGAGTTGACCATGTAAAGGTGAAGGGTGATCTCAGCAGAGGGGACATTATGAATAAAGGCAGAGGTTAAAAAAAAAGAACAAGGCTGCTCCAAGGAACTGCAAGCTCTTTGTGGCTCTAGTGTAAGAGACCAGATAAAGCTTGCTGAGTGAAAGCACTGCAGAAAGAAGCTGAAGGCAGATTATAAAAACAGTGCCTATCATGCTAGGAAGCTGAAACTTTATCCTGTAGGCAATGGGAGTCAATGCAAGGTTTTAAGTGGGAGTGTGATGTGGTCAGGTTGGTGTTTAGAAAGATCTGCTGGTAGTGATAAGGATAGTTTGGAGATAAGCAAGCTTGAACCCCCAAATTTGGAAGCTTCTGGAGCAGTTCAGGCAGTTCAGTTGTCTCAAGAGACTGAACTAGTACAATAATAATAAAGGCAGAGAGAGGAGAAATTCCAGAAACAAGAGGGGCTTTGGGCAGGACTTGAAAACTAATTGCATGTGGAAGGTAAAGAAAAGAAAGTACTCAAAGATGAAATCGGCCTTCCAGCTTAAGAGGATGGTAGTCACCCCCCCATCCCATGATTCTCGGAGGAGAATAATGTGCCCTGAGGGAAAAGCAGATTTTAGAGGAAGAACAATGTGTTCACATGTTGAACCTTTTGAATTTGAAGTACCTGTGGAACCTCCAAGTACAGTTCTCTACTCAACAAATAAGTCCAAGCTGGAGATAGACATTTGAGAGTCATCAGCATAGAGTAGTCTTTATCCCATGACAGTAAAAGTGATCCCTTAGGAAGAATATGGAACTGTGGAAAGTTATGGTTAAGAACATATCTCTAAAACTCCAGTAACTAAAATCCTCCAGGAATTAAAGTCTAAACTCAGGATATAGCAACTGGAAAAGGAAACTCCAGGCCAGAGTTCAGAAATCATTAGGAAAAAATGAGAATTTAAAATTGAAAGTTGAAAATCACTCACAGGACTGATCGGTGATCCTGAGGGCCTAGCTGAGGCTGGAGATCATGAATTAGTAGTGAGGGAATCTAAGAGATTGTGTGATTCTTCTCCAGTGAGAGTTAACCACTCTGGTGTGTATGGGGGTTAGGGGGAGCATAACACATCCAAATTTGGCATTTTTCTGTGGAGTGTGCTAGAAGGAGAATAATACATGGTGTTGATAAGAAAATAATTCAAATCATCAATGAGAGAATCCAGACTGTGAGCGGGAGAAGATTGATAGACTGAGATAAAATGACAGATTAAGAAAAAGGAGATTTCTGTGAGATCAAAGAGCAATTGTCACAAGATGGAGGAGTGAAATGCAAAGAGGTCTTTTGTTACAAACTCCATTTCCAAAGTAGAATAGTTGCAAGTAAAGATTACATCTAGGCTGTATACATGTTGGTGCATGAAATGTAGAGAAACTTGCAGTCATCAAAATGTATGCAACCAGGGGACACTGGGGCTTGAGAAATGAACAGACATTGAAGGGACCAAGAAGATGTCAAGGAAAATGCCATGAACCGAGTGCCTGAGTCTTGCTATCTTGGCAAATCGGTAGAAAGATCGATAGATGCTAAGTGACAGGGGTGTAACTTCAATGAATTTTAGACCTGAATTGGGTGCTTTTTTATAATATTATGTCAATGTGTAAAAACAAAAAAAAATTAAGAAAAGAACCCTGGTTCTCCAAGAATAATGATAGACTGAACAAAGCAGTCTGGTAAAGCAGACCTGCATCAATTGTGACTCCATTTCATTGGACGTGGTTAAGTTCCTTAAACTCCTGGAGTTTTGATTTCACCATTTGTAAAATAAGGATGATACTAAAGGCTCATATAGGGTTGGTACTGCACTTACTTCATAGGGTTGCTGGGTTAATTGAGATGATATATCTGAAGCACTTAGTACGCAGCACATAGCCAAAATCTGAATAAAAGTTAGGTGCAATAATAAAAGTAAATGCTTAGCTAGTACTGGCTATATGCCAAGTTTCACGTTAGGCATTAATCCCATATTATAACTGAGAAAATCGAGGCCAGAAATGTGACATGTCCTATCTAGGATCACACAGCATTTCAGGGTCAGAGTTGGTGTTTACACCAAGGCAGTCCAGTTCTCAAGGCTGGACTCTCAGCTACTATACATTACTAATGCTCCTGCAATGAGAATGTTTATTTTTATTAACTCCACTTCAAATGAATTTATCAATTGAAAACTTTTATTGAGGACCTTTTTGGTGGATAGCACTAAATTAAAAAGGTGTAAGAAAGCACCTGAATGAACAGGCCTGCTCTGGGTCCCTTGGCCTCGCCTGGGTCTGGGTGCCTCTGTACTCCTCTCACTCTCTTGGACACTGCAAAGAGGAAGCTGGCTTCCCTTGCATCTGCTGAGAGGGCCAAGTGACCCCAGCCAAAAGTGTGGGCATGTTCCCTCACCCATGAATGTGAGAAAGGCATGGGAGGAGCAGGACAGATTTGATTCCTCTCTGTCCATCCAGCAGACTTTCCTGAGGCAGGCCTTCACTACATCTTGTATGGAGGCATCCCCTGTGATCCAGCAGAAGCGTCTGTGGTGTGACCAGGTGTTACTCTGGGGATGTGTCAAAAGCTGTGGTCACATGGTCACCTGTTCCCTTGCCTTACTTTCCCGACTTTTCCAGCCCATTTACCTTTTCCCTCAGTCTCTTCTGTGGTCAACTTAATTGCCTCAATCTCTGTTTAACTAGAGAGTTTCTGAACACAGAAGTTAATCAGGAAGCTTTGGAAAGACTAGGTCTGTGCCTCCATAAAATAAGTAACAGTGCAAATAACTATTTGAAAAATATCAAATGAGTAGAATGCATCAGAGCACAAGTTTGAATAGTAACCTGAGTATTCACTACATGATCTTGTATTTTCCATATATATTTCCTTATATATAAAATGGAAATGGTGATGCCTGTGTAGCATGTACTTCAAATTCAAAAGGTTCAACATGTGAACACATTATACTTGGTGAGAATTTAAGAAAAGGTACAACCTCCAAGGGAAAAAAATTTGACAGTGTTTCTCAAAATTTAGCCTTTTTTTGCCATTTGATCCAATAGGGCCACTCTTGGAAATTTATGCTACAGGTACTCTTAACACTCATATGAAATGTCCCATGTAAAAGTGCATAAACTGCAACTTTGTTTATTTTGTTAAAAACAACCCAGTGTACATCATTAGAAACTATATCCACACTATGGAATACTACACAGCTGAAAGAAAGACGTCTCAAAACTGCTATGGAAAAAAACTCTAGATCTTGCCATTTATGACAATATGGATGAGGCTTGAGGACATAATGCTAAGGAAAATAAGTCAGAAAAAGAGGGATACTGTATGATCTAACATATATGTGGACTCTAAAAAAACAAAAACCAAAAAACCGAATTCCTAGGAACCCAGGATAGAGTAGAGGTTTCCAGAGTCAGGGA